TAACATCACAGTAAATGTACAACGTTTCGACAAGGTTTTGTCATCATCTGGTACAAAACCTTGTTGAAACGTTGTACATTTACTGTGATGTTAAACTTATATTAAAGTTTTTCTTCATTACCCATTCCAGCCGTCTCCAACCATTATTAGTCTCAAAGTGGGCTCCTCATCATTGAATTTGAATACACTATGCATGCTAAATAAGCAGCTTTAACTGAGGGGGTATAAAGGCTAGTGAGTCAAGCAAGAATAATTTTTTTTATGCATTAGAGGGCAGATGAAGATTAGGAAAAGTTTTGTGTGAGAGGGGTATGTATCATATCAGAATTTTATTAAATTCTCCTAATTAAAGTGCATTTAGCATCATGTGATATTAGCTAAAGCAGCTAGCATAAATAATGATACTTGATATAGCTGTACCAAGTGCATGTGGGTGATGACAAGAAAAACTGTTAATCTAGTTTCCATGGTGTTACTATAAAGAAAGTTATTAACACTGTTTTAGAGAGGAAATACTACCACCAAATATTTTAAAGAATCCGGTTGGTTCTGTAAAGTACAGGTTTGTTGATGTGTTTTGACAAAAAGTCATATCTAATCAAAAACACCTTAAGTGTGAGAAAAAGGCACAGCCAAGAAAGGACTGAGCATGTGACTCAAAGGAATGAAATCACCATCATGCCCAAAGTTGAACAAAAAACATGGACTGGCTAACTAATGAATGAATATTTACTGTAAAATTATTATCAATGCTATAAGTATAGCTACCAGTTTGGCTGCCAATTTTGATTTCATTCCTTTGAGTCACACGCTGAATCCTTTTTTGGCCACACCTTTTTTCACACCTGAGGTGTATTTGATTAGGTATATGGAATGCCAACTCAACTGTTCATTTAACACTTTACAGTCCCATTGAAATGAATCTTAACAAAAACTGAAGACAAAGATTGGTGGCAATCAAGACTAGAGAATATAGTTGGATAAGTCAATTATTTACTGAAACAAAATATTTTGTCATTTCATATGCAAATGTCACCTGAAAAGTTTTACTCCACCTCAATAATGTTATAAAAGTTAACTTCCCCACACCTTCAAGTTTTTCCTTGGATTTTTATAAAATCAGAAGTAAAAAAAAATAAATCATTTGCATGCTTCATTTTCACTAGTAGACTAGTTTTTAGAATAACTTAAGTCATGTTAAAGAATTTTACTCAATTCTAGGTGAGCTACTCGTAGAATAAGGGTTATCAAAAGAATTGTGTGTGCAAGGTCTCTTCAACATTAAATATATATATAAAAGTGTGGGAGAAATGTTAAAACTGTTTGCAACTTCCAAACTTTCTCATTTTTCTACACAAAAGACAAAACTGATGAGAGTGAAACTTGTTGAATAAAAGAACAAATTAATGGTGTGTATAGTGTCCCTCTTAATTTGACACAACATTTTGTCAAGAACTTCAGAGTACAGATAAATATAAAGCTATCAAATTCTTAAAGGAAACAACAAAAAATAATACCTAAATATTTATTGTAGACACCCCATTCACTTTAAGTAAATAGTTTGTTACCTTTCAACTGTGCTTATTCACATTGTTACATAACAGCTTTTTATGATGCAAAATGACAAATGCCTTACAAACAGTAAATATAATGCTCTTTACCTGCAGTTGGTCCATTAATGTAGAATCAGATAGATAAGGAATAATGTGTACTACCAAAGCCATAGCACCAATCAGACCAGCTTCCAAAGTTTCTGTAAGTCTTCGTTTACAGAGAGAAACCTAGGAAAATAAAAGAAACAAAATAACATTCAAATTTTCAATTAAATTATTGAGTATTTTTTTTGCCTTATGAGATACAAATGAAGTACTTCTGCAATTCTTCATATGCATATCTTGGAAATAAAACTTAAAAGTGAAGGATGAGAAAATCAATATTTTACGTGGTATCTTGTGTTCATTTTACAGTATAGGCGACAGTTTTAGTCTGGAGATTTTTAACAGTCAGAGCTAGCATTTGCAAGCTCTCTTTTCTTTCTTTGGATATATAAATGATGGTCCATTATTTCAAGCAAGGCACATTTCTTAATTTTAATAAGCCCATCCATTCACAAGCTATCAGTCTCAGTGCTATGAAATTTTTCAACTTCTGAAAATACCAAAAATTTACATTTAATATGTATGGTTATAGTCATATATTAAAAAGACAAACTTGCCTGTCATGGCAGAAAATGGCATTGTTTCGTGCAAATTGTATGTCAATTGATATTGCAACAGCCAAGATATCGGCATGACAGCTGACTGGCTTATCATCTTTACATAGTAGATGATGTTGATGACTTAATTTTGATATTGTATCTACTTTTTCTAGCAATATTAGTCTTAATTTTAGAAATGTATTGCTGTATGCCAACTTATTTTCACTTATGGGATGACAAGAGACGTAGGTAGCACCTGTCTTCAGATATTGATAATGTTATTGTTTTGTGTATATAATGTTATGTTCTCTCAGTCTTCATACAAAATTTCATCTGGTAAAAGAAAGAGATACTGCCTGTTGTTTTCATGCAGTCATCTTTGTGTCTATTTTTTTGAAGACAAATATCCAGTTTTTAACTCCACATGACATTTTCTGCTGTATATCTTGTTACTGGTACTTTTCTTACCTGTAAGGTAATCCAGACACCTGAAAATACCATAAAATAAGATAGTAAAGTTATATTTTGGTGCTGTGACCATAGGATTTGTTTTTGGTGGATGTTTACTAATTTATTGAAGGGCATACTTTTCTGTGCTCCTTTGCATTGTGTAGTAGCACCAATTACAGCCACTACAGCAAAGGACCGTGTTTACAATCTTGATGGAGCCATAAACTCAGGAAGAGGAACCACAGCCTAAAACTTTCCTGAAAATCACTCTTAGCTCACTGAAACATGGAAGACTAAAGGCTGTAGCAATGACTTGAAGGCTGGAGTCCCTCAGATCAAGTGGGAAGGTCTATTTAGGTTGATTTTGACCTGTAGAATTTAGCCCCACTACTGACCATTATCACCCATCACCAGAAATGAGACTTGAAGTGCCACTGGTGAATGGAATCAATCAGTTGGAGCTGTCTCACTGCTAGGATCTTCATGTTATACTTCACTTGTACTAAGATGAAGTCATAGGAAAATGAAATATCTGTATTAATGGATTCTGATGATCAGAAGCAAAAGGTTGCCTCTTTAAATAGCCCATTTAAGTTATTCTTGTAGGAAACAGTCTTTATAGATTTATCTCCTTCCTTTCCCATTAGACCTGGGCTCCGTTCATATAACAATCAGACAGTGATGGAAGGAATAGGGGTAGATTACAGGTGGCTGCTCTAGCTGTTCTCTCAATCTCAAGGATAAAACATGATGGACAGCATGACTGTTGGGTTGGTCAAGTGCATGATCCTAACAAATTATGGTTGACCACATCATCCACAGGTAAGGGATTCATCATCTACAGATAACTTACAGTAAGTACATGTAAACCTGTAGAAGTGGCACTAGAACACAACAATAGTTAGTAGATGTGACTGAGCCATCACAGAATTCAACCCTGACTTACAGTAAGTACAGGTAAACCTGTAGAAATAGAACTAGAACAAGACAATAGTTAGTAGATGTGACTGAGCCATCACAGAATTCAACCCTAACCTGTAGAAATGGCACTAGAACACAACAATAGTTAGTAGATGTGACTGAGCCATCACAGAATTCAACCCTAATTTACAGTAAGTACATGTAAACCTGTAGAAATGGCACTAGAACAGGACAATAGTTAGTAGATGTGACTGAGCCATCACAGAATTTAACCCTAACTTACAGTAAGTACATGTAAACCTGTAGAAATGGCACTAGAACAGGACAATAGTTAGTAGATGTGACTGAGCCATCACAGAATTCAACCCTAACTTACAGTAAGTACATGTAAACCTGTAGAAATGGCACTAGAACACAACAATAGTTAGTAGATATGACTGAGCCATCGCAGAATTCAACCCTAACTTACAGTAAGTACATGTAAACCTGTAGAAATGGCACTAGAACACAACAATAGTTAGTAGATGTGACTGAGCCATCACAGAATTCAACTCTAACTTACAGTAAGTACATGTAAACCTGTAGAAATGGCACTAGAACACAACAATAGTTAGTAGATGTGACTGAGCCATCACAGAATTCAACCCTACACTTTTGGCAAACTTTCTGATTAATCAGAACCCTTATGAGAACTCATCTTTCAATCCTAACTTCTTGTTATGTATGATTAAAATATTGACTCTTGTCTTTGTGACAAGAATTGCCATAAGTTTCACTCATATTCATTCTATTGCTTAAACTACCTATATTCTCAAAATGTAAGAAAAATCTGGTTTAAAATTGTAACTTTCATTATTGTAATTTGAATTTTTTTTAATAGGTTTTACTTGTCAGTCTTGTCTAATGTCTTATTGTATAAGAAATAAGGTACATGATGTATGGTTTTTTGATTTGCTTTTATACATTTTTAAATTAAAGGTTGAGGATGACCTAAAATCAGGAAAGAGGGAAATGTGGTACTTGGAAAATAGGTTATATTATATTATAATATGTTATCTACATTGTAAATATTAACTACAATCCCCAAATATGTGAGGAAATGGGACCAGGGGAAGCAAATAGATGCCCATTATTCTTGAAAGAAGGAAAGCAACAGCAAAGATTGTGTGAAGCTAACCAACAAAAAGAGAATGGCATCAAGTTAATCAATGGAACATCTGGTCAGGGCCATGATCTTATATTTCCAACTATTAGTAAATAAAGGTTACCCGCTGAAAGCAGATATGATCTCTTAGAAGAACCCCATAAAAAATTCTACTTCTGTTTCAATGGTAACATACTACATTAAAAAAGAAACTTGTTTCTTGGAGAAAAGGGCCTTTACAACAAGAAATTCCCAACCCTGCCAGTTGTGCTGTATTAAGAGTGACCTGTGGAACAAATGTATAACTCCTAGTGTGAAGAAATTTCCACAGAGTTGATTCTGATTAATTTGTAATAGTGAAGCAATTCAAACAATGATGAGTCATCTGAATTAAAAACATCACACCATCCTAACTAAAATAGGAGCAGGTAATGAGAAGTACCAGGCATATTCTATTCTAGAAGGTTACTGCCACCACATGAACTAAAAAAAAAGTCTAAGTTTTTTGTTTTAACCTTTTCAATGGGTACAAGTATGAAGAGTAGAAAACAGTCCTTAAAATCTAGTGTGATGTATCTTGGCTGAGGAAGAGAGCTAGAAAGTTATTGAGCTGGTGTAGAGTTAGATGACATTATAAAAATGGGATATGAAAGAATCTGCGTAAGAAATTTGAACAAGAAAAGATAACGCTTGTAGGACTCCAGATTCCTTGCTTGAAGAAGATTCCATAGAAAGGAGGCTTAGCTGATACCAAGAAAACCACCAAGTATCTGGTAAGATGAAACATGATCACAAATAGTAATTCCCACACAGTGCATGAACATAATTAATAGGAAGCTAAAGCTATGTATAAGAGATGTCATCAATACAACAGTGTTAGGTCATGCTAGGTAGAAGTATTTTTGTTAACAACGTTCTTGGTCAAAATCAATTTATACCTAATAAATATATTTTGTTTTTAATAATTTATTTTATGTATGTGTATTGTTTCAATATTATAAACTTAACAATCATGATGACAGAAAAACAAGAAGGTTCAAGAAGTTTTAATGTAAAGCTATAAAGGTTATAGGGTTTTATCATTTTATATAATCTTAATAATATTCAATAAGTAAGGATTTGTGTAACATTTTAGTCACCAGAATATTTTACTATTGCTACCACACTCTAAACCTAATAAGGCTGAAAGTAAGCTGTATGGTATTTAAACGTTTCCCGAGGCTATTTTTAAAGATGCTTGAGAATACTAGTTGTTCCCAATTTATGACCTCACAGCATGTGATGTGAACAGTAGCTTGTACTACTAAAGCTTCAGACAGAGAAGGAAAATGGTGAGAGAAAAATGACTAATTGTATTCTCAAGAGATGATAGTTGCTTAGCATGTAAAACCCTGTTTATAGGTTAGCAAGTATGATTATTGTTTGGAAATTATACTAAATAAATGTTATAAAATGACAAAATGTCAATTCTAACTCATTTTGGAATAAAACATTGTTGGAATATTGTTAGTATTATTATTTGTACTTAAATTATGAAATCTGATATGTAGATGTGCACATGAAAGAAACTCAGTTGGTTTTAAAAGGGCTAATATTCATATATTATTTGTATTAACTGCAAATGTAACTTACATTTGTCTTAATCCTATCACAATGGGCTCCTGCATTTTACATGGCCTTGTAACAACCATGGTTACCTGGTAGTATACATACTATTACTCTGTAAGTACTTAATGTATCGTCACGAAATTTGACAAACTTTCAG